TTTATGGGTTTTCTTTGGTTCTTTTCAGGTTTATTTACTTTCCTCCCTTATCTAAAGAATTAACGGTGATGAAACAGATTTAATCAGTGGTGCTCAGATATTCATTCACTATAAATAATAATAATTATAGCTTTTTTTTTTTAAAGGAGAAATCTGAATTGGGATTCATTTTGCTTGTTTGCGTTGGTAAATTTGCATATTTTAGTGTATAAACTGTGTCGGTTTGTCATTTTCTCCACATTTAATGAAGATTTAATCTGCTCAAGCTCCTAAAAATCGGCTTTAATCCTGGAGAAAATCACATTTTTCTCATTTTTTGTTTGATTTCTAACGTTTTGCTGTAATGAATAAAGTGTAAATGTTTGGTTATATTTCTGTTTTTGCCCTTAACGGGTCAGAAGTGTCGACCTTCTGAGCAGCTCAGAGCACCGCTGATTCAAATCTCTCATCCACTCTGGTTGCTTTTGTAAAAAAGAATAAAACATGCCAGTAAATTTATATTTTTTTGTTTTATTGTTTCTGCAAAAAAAAAAAAAAAAAAAAAAAGACAATCTGGAGGATGGAATAAAGGGATTGTGAGAGCTTCCTGCTTCCAGACGCTCAGGGCTCCAAAACGAGCTTCCTTCTGTGTGTGAAATGTCTGTAAAAGCCCCGAAAACAAGCGTTTGTGTGAGCAAAGCCTTTAAAGACTCCACTTGGAAACATTCCAGATGTGTTCAGGCCTCTAAAACCACGGAGCTTCTTTAAAAAAGCTGAAAACACAGCAAAGATAACGCTCATATTTGTGTCCGTCAGCTCGTTTAAAGCCACAAAGGGAGTTTTTATTACTGTTAGTAGCACAAACGTCAACTTTTTTGCACATCTGGTGGGCAGAACCAATCAAAAGCTTATCAGGAAGTGACTTTTTATGCAATGATAGCAAAAAAAACTAAAAGGCAGCCTTCCTCCTCTCAGCGTGAGTCTGTGCTTCATATGGCCTCCACCAGGGGGCGCCACCTCCTGTCTGGATCCAGACCTGGTCCCCACAGACCCGGTTTTGGTCTCCAGGGTCCAGAAGGGTTTCCTTCTTCCTCCATCCGATAAAAGGCTGCATTTAAAAATCCTTCTGAGGAGCCCAAACTAACGCGTACGCCAGTAAAAAGACGAGAAAACAGGCTTTTTTAAAAAAAAGATGTGACAAAGTAATGAGGTGGATGTTAAAAATCTGATTTTGAGCTTAAAAATGAAATGTTAGAGATCAAGCTCAAATATTGAGTTGTGATTACATGAAATCAGTCACTCCAAACTGGAAATTTGATCCCTTTAAGTTAAAAGTGAAAGCTGAAGTGGTCCTGAAGAATCAAATTACACTGAGAAATGAAGGTGGAAAGCATCACTTTAAGCTGTTTTTTAAATATCTTTTGGTTCAGAATTATTATTTCAGCTTTCTAGTGAAAATAACTTTTTTTGTGGTCAGAATGATCCTTTTTTGTGTACTAATTAGGATCATTTTAACACTGAAACCCATTCAAGGTTGTTTGTTCATCTTAAATTATATTTCTGAAAAAAACAAACATAAATATTAAGTAAAATATTTAGGTCAAATCAATTTAAGCTAATTGAAAATGCTTTAAATTTAACAAAACAACATAATTATGTAAAGACGGCACATAGGAGTAAAAAAGATGCATAAAAAAGCCATACAAGCTAATAAACTAGTTAAATGAGATCAAAAAAAGGACACTGCAATGAGAAATTAACCAAATTCAACTAAAAAGAAATTAATTTAATAGTTTGATTTCAGGTTTAAGTGTTTTAAATGTGAATAAAAGTTGTTTGACAGACAAAAACTGATGAAAAGTGCAATTTTTAAGATGAACATTTGTATTTTTGTCTTTATATTTTAGATCTATGAATCCGATTTTAGAACTCCAGGAAAACTAACTTAAGTTAAATGTATTATTTTTCCACACAGTGAACATTTGAACCATAAACCTAATTTTTAAGGCTATTTTTTCTCATTTTAAGGCTGTTTCTTGTGTTTTTACTGGCGGAGACGGACGTCCTCGTAGCTGTGACTCAAAGCTAAACTTGTTTTTCTGTTGTGGTCTGAATGTCTGTCGGCTTAAAGGGACGATTTCATATTTTCTCTGTTTTTTTTTAATGATTATTGAGTAGAAAAATGTAAATTCATCTGAGCGTGCAGCTTCTGGGACGCCGACGTGTATCAGGATGATTTCTGCCTGTAGTTTAGAACAGCTGTCTTTCTTCTTCTTCATCTTCTCTCTCCTCCTCCTCCTCCTCTTCTTCTTCTTCTTCTTCTTCTTCTTCTTCTTCTTCTTCTTCTGGTGTCTGGTCAAACGAGTCCGGCTCTCTGTTTTTGTACCTGCAGCCAGTGGGACTTTCTATTCAGAACAATAAAAACAATAATGAGCTGAGAGGGAGACGTGGCTCTTTTTTCTTCTTCTTCTGTCGGACG